GAACAGTTCCGGACGAGGACCATCCACAGGATGCTGAGCCACTACCTGCGGGAGTTCGAGGATTATATGGGCTTCGAACTACACAAGTGGGATACCTGACACCTTCCAATACGAAGGACCACATCCTGGACAATCTCTATTGGAAGGGTTGGAACACAGCGTTGAATCTAGGTCGCCAATGGAGGGGTGTGACTCGATTTCTCACTTTGGATCCCATACCGGACCATCCGGCGTTGGCAACATGGATGCAAAGCCGTGCCTTTATTGAGGAATTGTGGAGGCATGGACAGAGCACGTCACGGGCCTTCCGTGGGCTTCAAGAAGCAGCATCCGATCCTCCTACGACCACTGGATATGTGATTTTGGCATTGGAGGTGCTAGCGGCTTTTGAAGTCTTTGAGAGCAACAATCCTCTAATTCATCCTAATCCATATCCATATTGGTTGCGGATGACCCATCGCATATTTCTTTGGTGGACATCCCGAAACCACCAACGGGAAAGATCCGGCTTGGGCTTCAATGGTCTCAGCTCAATCCAGCTTGGCAGAAGGCATTTGAAGGTCCCGTCACGCAAGTATGACGCCCTGACCCATGTCATGCCTAATGAGAAGGTGCTTGATGAAGAGATCCTTCCTAGCAAATTTGTTCTGGTCAACAAGGCAGATCCAAAGAACCAATAACCACAAGATGAGGATCTGGAAAATGCCAAATTGAAGGCCACGTTGGTCATCGTCGGGCACAAAGATCAGCGAGCTAGCGATATTGAGACACAGGCTCCGACAGCTTCGCTTATGGCCCACAACTTCTTGTGTTTTGTCGCTGCGCAGTACAAATGGCGCACGTTTTTCGCAAACATCTCAGCTGCATTCCTTCAAGGTAACTACCTTCCAGAAGACCGAAGGATTTTCATCCAATCACCCAAGAACTACCCGATGTTTATCCGCGAATTCCTCATGACCAAGGTACCTCCCGGAGCCAAAACAAATCTTTTCAAAATGAAGAAAGTTGCCTTTGGATTGGCTAAGAGTGCGAAATTTTGGTACCAGAGTTTCAAACGAGACATCATAAGCATCGGTAGACGTAAGTTAGCCTTAACGTCCGGGGTATTCTCCTTTTGTGGTCCTAATGGCCAGATCTAGGCCCTCTTAGCGACTAGAATTAGGGATGCCTCGGCAGTAACTAAATTAAAAATTTTCGTTAATCGAACCCGAAGTCCATAATATAAAGTGCTCCGACACCGAAATTACGAAATATAGAAAGTATTAGTGTTTAAGATGTCGGACGCATCTTTCAATAAAATGCTTCGCGAGAAATCGCAAAGCGATTCCGTCCTCGTCATAACCAACCCTACGACCCTTAAACATAAAATTCGAATCAATATCTTCACCTTTTATTCGTCGTTACTCAAACGAATTACGTTACTTCAAAATTCCCCACCCTCAAAGAATTGGTCTTCACAAGGGAAAAGCGGTTCAGCGCGAAAAGGATTCTTTATTGAAAACAAAACCACACATCGAATACTTACTTGTGAGGTTTCTGAATTTCGATATTTTAATGCCTGGCAACCCGGCATCCCTGCCAAGTCAACTTGTGGTGGATATGCTGTGGAACTGGTACTTGGGAGCACTCTGGTGAATGTGCTGGTGTAAAGGCTACGCTGGGCTACTCGGGGCCACTCTGGTGGATGTGCTGTGTAAGGGCTACTCTGGGCCACTGTGGGCCACTCTGGTGGATGTGCTGCGTTCTTTGGGTTGCTCTGAACTACGCTGGGACCACTCTGGTGGATGTGCAGAAGTAGCGAGTCTACTGAAGTCCAAAGTTCTTAAAATCTAACAACCCCACAGTCCTACGGGTGGGGAAAAAATTGCTTTGATAAGTACATTACAAGTCTACAACTATCCTGCGATCTCTTTGGTAAATGTGCTGTGGAGAAGCTAAGTTGCGCTACTAAAAACTGTGGTTGCTGTGGACAAGCTAAGTTGAACTACTTAGAAATCAATTTGTGAATGTGCTGTGGAAGAACTAGGCAGCTAGGTTTAGCTACTCAGGGATCAATTTGGTGAATGTGGTGTGAATACTCAGAGGTCATTTTGGTAAATGTGCTGTGGAAGTGCTACGTTGAATTACTCAGGGATTACTTTGGTGAACAAGGATCAGTTTGGCGAGCGTATTGTGAAAGAGCCACTTTGGGCTACTCAGAGATCACCTTGGTGAACGTGCTGTGGAAAAGCTAGCTTGAAAACTCAGGGATCACTCTGGGGAACGTGCTGTGGAAGAGCTACTTTGGGCTACTCCGGGATCTCTTTGGTGAACATGCTGTGGAAGTGCTGCGTTGAAATACTCAGGGATCACTTTGGTGAGTGTGCTATGGAAGAACTGCTTTGGGCTATTCAGGGATTACTTTGGCGAGTGTGGTGTGGAAGAGCTAAGTTGGGCTAGTCAGGGATTCCTTTGGTGAACGTGCTGTGAAAAAGCTACTTTGGGCTTCTCAAGGATTACTTTGGTCAACGTGCTGTGGAAGATCTAAGTTGGGCTACTCAGGGATTACTTTGGCGAGTGTGGTGTGGAAGAGCTAAGTTGCGCTGGTCAGGGATTCCTTTGGTGAACGTGCTGTGGAAAAGCTACTTTGGGCTTCTCAAGGATTACTTTGGTCAACGTGTTATGGAAGATCTAAGTTGGGCTACTCGCGGACTACTTTGGTGAGTGTGCTGTGGAAGGGCTAAGCTACTCAGGGACCACTTTGGTGAGTGTGCTGTGGAAAAGCTAAATTGTGCTACTCAGAGACCACTTCGTGAGTGTGCTATAGAAGAGCTAAGTTGGGCGACCGGGCGTACTGAAGTCCGAAGTACTAAAAACCTAACAACCGACAGGCCTACGGGTGAGAAAAACGCAGCTTTTGTTGGCTTGATAAGTACATTGCAACTCTACAACTACCTTGGAATCACTTTGGTAAATGTGCTGTGGAGAAGCTAAGTTGCGCTACTAAGAACTGTGGTTGCTGTGGAAGAGCTAAGATGAGCTACTTAGAAATCAGTTTGTGAATTTGCTGTGGAAAAGCTAGGTTTAGGTTTAACTACTCAGGGATCAGATTGGTGAATGTGGTGTCAATACTTAGAGGTCATTTTGATGAATGTGCTGTGGAAGTGCTACGTTGAACTACTCAGGGATTACTTTGGTGAACAAGGATCACTTTGGCGAGCGTGCTGTGGAAGAGTTAAGTTAAACTAGTCAGAGATTACTTTTGTGAGTGTGCTATCAAAGAGCTATATTGAACTACTCAGGGACTACTTTGGTGAACAGGGACCACTTTGGTGAGTGTGCTATGGAAGAGCTACTTTGGGCTACTCAGGGACCACTTTGGCCAGTGTGCTGTGGAAGAGCTAAGTTGCGCTACTCAGGGGCCACTTTGGCCAGTGTGCTGTGGAAGAGCTAAGTTGCACTACTCAGGGGCCACTTTGGCCAGTGTGCTGTGGAAGAGCTAAGCTGGGCTACTTAGGGACCACTTTGGCCAGTGTGCTGTGGAAGAGCTACTTTAGGCTATTCAAGGACCACTTTGGTGAGTGTGCTGTGGAAGTGCTACTGTTGACTACTCAGGGATCACTTTAGCCAGTGTGCTGTGGAAGAGCTACGTTGCGTTACTCAGAGACCACTTTGGCCAGTGTGCTGTGGAAGAGCTAAATTGCGCTACTCAGGGACCACTTTGGCCAGTGGGCTATGGAAGATCTAAGTTGGGCTACTCAAAGACCACTTTGGTGAGTGTACTGTAGAAGAGTACTGTAGAAGAGCTAAGTTGGGCTACTCAGGGACCACTTTAGCCAGTGCGCTATGGAAAAGCTAAGTTGCGCTAGTCAGGGACCTCTTTGGCCAGTGTTCTATAAAAAAGCTAAATTGCGCAACTTAAGGACCACTATAACCAGTATGTTGTGGAAAATCTAAGTTGGGCTATTCAAGGACCACTTAAAAGCTAAATTGCGTTAGTCAAGGAACTCTTTGGCCAGTGTGTTATAGAAGGTCTCAAGGAGCTCTTTGGCCAGTGTGTTATAGAAGGTCTAAGTTGGGCGACTCAAGGACCACTTTGGTGAGCGTGTTATAGAAGAGCTAAGTTAAGCTGCCAGTGGGCTATAAAAGAGCTATTTTGGGTTACTCAAAGACCACTTTAGTAAGTGTACTATGCCACTTCAGCCAATGTACTATAAAAAAATTAAGTTACACTATTCAAAATCTACTTTGGCCAATGTGTTATAGAAAAACTAAGTTAAATTATCGAGCGTACTAAACTCCAAAAATCTAACAATCCCACAATCCTACGGATAGGAAAAATATAATCCTCGCTAACTACGAAAATCAATCAAATAACCACAATAGTAGAAAAATATAAATTTCTTCGAAAATTAATAATCCAAATCCTAAATCCGATATATCAATTATAAAATTAATATCGATAACTAAACGACGCCAAAATCGCCGTACTAAAATCCACGACAAAATACGACCTCCTCAACGACACAAAACAATATTTTATATAAATATTCCATCATTATATAAAAGAAATAAAGATGTATATATATTATTCATTAACCTATCCATATCTATTCAAATATTTTTCATTTATATCGATCATAATTCATAGATATATTAATGTATTCAAAACGAACATATAATTATTATATATATATATATATTATATATAAATGTATGTATATTTTTTGGGGTGATGTTTTTCATGTCCAAATTGTTTGAATTGTTCTTGTTTGTAAGCGACGCTTCGGACGACCAAAATCCTCGAAATAGGAATTCGTTCATCCAATGTCTTGCACATAAGAAAATATACCTGGCGACGTCTCCATTCAGCAGATTGTTGGAATTTGCTTGATGGAACGGGAGCAATAACGATGCTGCAGAATCACAGCCATGCCTCCATCGTCACACAGTTCAGTTCACGATCTTTGCGTGTTTTACTTCATGAAAACATATGAAAGCAAGACCTATTTCATAACAAAGAGGCCAACCATGCGCCGCTGCAATTCTTTCAAAGAGGCTCACCCAGTCTTCACTGGGCAAGCAAATTGATATTTGTTGGAGTTGGAGTTGTTTCGGCTTGATGTAAACGAACAGCCCAGATTGCCATCGCAAAGCATGACAGCCTTGGGCAAATCTCATGTCTACAGTCGGGTGATTATCATCACCTCAGCCAACTAGAAAGTCTGTCTTTGACAGAAATATGTGATTTCTGTGCCAGAGCCCCCACAGGACTGCATTTCAGCTCAAGGTGTAGAGTAAAGCGCGTCATTTGCCCACTGAGCAAAAAGCCGCGAAATTCACGCACTCTCTCTGCGGTCAAATTCACCGGGGAATAACAGTGACCATCTCATCTCTGTCAGTTGAATCTCAATTGCTGAGCCACTTTATGAATTTGACCACACAAATGTTTACAGAATATGTGCATGGTGAGAACAACATTGCACTGTCATTCTCCACCTCAGAGTGCCACCTGTGTCGACACGAGCACGAAGACGTGATTTCACTACAAGGACGTGGTTTTCACCAAGCCGACCAGCAAATTGATCCACGAAAGAGTGGATTGTCACACAGCAAAGCGCAGCAGACCTTGAGAACACTTGCAGTGCCATGAGGCCATTTCTGTTCCATGGTCTCATCAACTGCAATCCACCTGAATCGGCAGAAAAAGACCCTTCGGGATCGCTGAAGCGTCATGGTACCACTGTGGATTCTGATTCATCATGAAGACAGAATCATGGTGAGCACGAATCACTTATGATGCATCAGTTCTTTTAACGCTATATACATGCAGCCATATGGTCTTGCCACTCGCCTATCATGCACCAGAATCTGTGAAGAGGAAAGAAGGTTCAGCTCGCTCAGGCAGTTGCTGTCAAGATGGCGTGGATTTGAAAATAACAACAACTACCCAGACACTCCTGGACCCTCATACGCAGGGGTTGCACCCTCATATGGAGGGGTCTGGACCCAAACCAATCCCTATGGTTTTCAAGGACCAGTCGGGCTGTTTGGAGCGTCTGGGTAAACACTTTCACAATGTCATCTTCGTTTCGCCACGCGAAGTAGAACACCCGAGGCGCGCTTGAGGCTTTGGATGAATGTGTTTTTTTTCTCGGACTGCAGTCGACACAGGTTTCACGCGACGGGTCATTCTTGTTCAGGGTTTGGGGACCTGCAGTCGACACCTGAGCCAGGCTCCCAGGCGGCTCAAATCGACTAGAAGCGTGAAAGAAATTCTCTCAGCTCATGAGGTGTTCCAGCTCCTCAGGCCGCGAGTGGAGAGGTGGCTGGTGCAATGGGTCGACCTTTCTGCGCCAGGCAGCACCGCGTTCGCGAACGTCCTACTTTTCGCTTCACCAAAAGGGGCAGTGAGCAACAAGAACTGCACGAAAGCAAAAAGGAAGGCGTGACTGTGAGGCTGTGAGGGAGCATACAACCTCAACACACAGATCTAAGCTCCATGCGAAAGCTGGCAAGGGTTTGACCATCACCAACCTGCAACAGATCGCAAGGGGGGGTGTTTGGAGATGTTTGCCTTCAGGCTGCCTTGCTATCTTTTGCCGCACTGAGCCGACACCCTCTCCGAGAACGAGGTCCACGGACGCTTGGCGTCCAAGAATGACATAGAATGACAGGGTGCCCCCGACTGACATGCAGGGTTTGGAGGAAGTGCAAGCAGGGAGCTCATCTTTGCGAAAACAAAACTCCACACAAAACATGTCGACACACCATCATGTTCCCCATGTTTCACACCCCCATGTTTGTCGAAACATGAAAACACAACTCCCACGTATTTTCATGTACAGAACATGGGGTGTCGAACCGTTCGCGCCTTTTTCAATCCTCCCTTTTCTGGAGATCCGTAGCTGGCCTTGATGGTGAGGTAGTCCGGCGGCGCCGCCTCAAACCTCGGAGCCCGCAAACGCGCGGACGGGGCCGTGCCGTGCGGGCCCGTGAGGCCAGTTCGGCCCATCTTCGCAACATGAGTTGGAGGATGTTGGGATCATGAGCAACGTATGAGCAACTACTGTTTATCAACAAACATCTCCGGCTGCAAATGCTCCAACATCTTTTCATGTCAGACCTGTCAGACCTTAGAACAAAAGGCCACAAAGTGTTGGTACCATTGGATCTGCCTGTTCACTTGGAGGAACTCCTATTCATACCTATTCATCAACCAGTCAAGCCCCAAATAGGCCCAAAAGGTCAAGTCAAGGCCATGGCTGCCATCCTCTTGTCTTCTTTCCGTCAAAGCCATGCCGGGCGCCATCCTACTGGCCATCCTCACCCCCACCGAGCTCCGTCGCATGGTCTCATCGGACACATCATCCCCCGCAGCCAGGACGGCTGCAAATGGCCTGAAGCACGACTCCGCACGTACCGCACGTACCGCGGCCGTGAAGAACGGCCGTTCATTGGGACGAGGTGAAGTCCAAACTCAAAAAGAAACACACACACACACACACCCACGCACGCACGCACGCACACGTCACACGCACACGTCACACATCAATCAAGAGAGGTTGTGAAAGTGAGTCAAATACTGTTGACTGAAAACATAATGCATGAATGCACAGACATGCAAATAAGGACGATGTCTTTTGAACCTCCTTCCACCCTAAACACAAGCGGGAGTGGAAATGAGGGCGCTGCTCCCCAAAGAGAGCCTTTTCCTCGCACAACCGGCGCATGACCAGTCCTGAAGGAACAAATCAGTGGTGTTTTCGAGGGACCTTGGCACAATTCCGCTGCTCCAACTTCAATAGATTGCGATTTACAGGCACCAACAAAATTCTTCAGAGTCCATGAACCCTTTCAGCTGCAAAACCCCATGAAACACTTATTTCAAGAAACACCCCCGTCGCCCCTCCATACCGTGAGCAAAGAGAAGTGGAATTCTCAGAGCTTACATGCATGGTATTCCTTCTATCATGTTGACTGGAATCATTGCACTTCCAATACCGACCTTTGGCCCCTGACTTTCCCGTAATGGAGCAGCCTACGGTCTTCCAACCTTGCTGGAGTAAGGAGGGGGTCCTGACGACCCATTTATATAGGTGAGTAAGGATGGTGCGTGATTCCTGCGTGAGGCTGAGCAAAACATGTTTGGGAGAGCCCACAGGTGTACACTGAACGCTCCGGACCGCACAGGTTGTGGGGCACTCTTGCGGCACACTCTTGTACTCTCTTGTGGGACACTCTTGGGCACCTTTTTTGGAAAACTCTTGGTAGGACACTCGTGTGGTTGTAGGACACTCTTGTCGGACACTCTTGTGGAACACTCTCGTGGGACTCTCTTCTAGGACTCTCTTGTGGGACACTCTTGTGTGGCTTTATTGTGGGACACAGACTCTTGTGGGACATTCTTGTGGGACACTCTTGCAGGACACTCTTGTTGGACGCTCTTGTGGAACACTCTTGTGGCGCAATTCCCTGTGGACACATTTTTCGGACACATCTGCAGGACACTCTTGTGGGGGACTACTAGAGTCTCCAAAAGTCAACCGTCATGTCTCCAGAACGAGCGTTTTGCAGTTGCCTGAGGAATCCCTAAGGGAGTGGCCACTCATTCAGTGAACCCTACTAGACTGACTGGAGATCAGCACTAGGGGCTCCATCCAGGAGGATGCCACGCCAGCAATGCGAAAGCGTTGTGATTGAAGGTATTCAGGGCGAATGTGGACTGGAGCTAACTCCACGACCCTGCAGTTTGGGGAGCAGTTTGGACCATTTGCAGAATTCCTAATGAAGTACCTCTGGTGCCCATTTCGTCGTAGAAGAACTTGACATGCATGTCGTGTAAACAGTGATGTGCAACAAGATCGTCCAACCCATTCCCAAGATGTCCCTAGGTTGGAGGCCATCGCTATTAGGTTGGAGGCCATTGCTATCAGGTTGGAGGCCATCGCTATTAGGTTGGAGGCCATCGCTATTAGGTTGGAGGCCATTGCTAT